AGCATCATCTGTTGAGGCTGGGGGTACTGACGTCTGAGGTTCCTTGAGCGATAAAGTTAACATGTCAGATCAGAGACGGGCGTCAGGAGAGTCCTGCATCTTACGACCTTTATTAGATTCTTCCTGTACCACAACGAACTGGGGTGAGGCTAAAGGCTCCCTTATCCAGTCATCGCCTTTCTGCCTTCATTTAAAGCCGGCTGCATCATTGCAAATACTCCTCGGGCTATGACAACTCTTCATGAGAGCGAATTTTTGAACGGAATGGAGTTGGCATTCTAGAGAGATCGTGGTATACCGCGACTCTGGTGTAGGAGCAATGTCCGACAGTCCCCTCCCCCGCCCAAAAGCCCATGAGCATGTTTTACCAGCCGTCGGTATCCCACCCATAAGACCGGAACGGTATTACCTCAGCTGCACCACAACGTTGGCCCGGCTGGACGCCGGAGTGGATGCAACTTCTCGAGCATGGCGCTTTGATACAAAACCAGGCTGACCCAGCTAAGTGTTTTACAGTCAGTTTCCACCGTCAGTAGACTTCGGCCTATCTTATTCACAAAGGTTTTGCCCCACCGATCTTTAGCTCCTTCACTTGACAATAGCGAGAGTTGATGATGTCCGCCAAACTTCTCCTAATGTCACCATCTGTTGGATTTTATAATAATAAAAAACAACTTTTACCACACCGGAGCGTTGCTTAGTTGTGTGCTACCCCGAAAGCCCTGGGAAAGATTTCAGTCGGTTAAACTTTTTAATCGAAGACCAGGGTCTCTGAGCGCCTTGGTGGCTTGGAGTTTCTTCCGCACGACAAGTGAGGGACCATGTGTTCAAACCTACGGCGCATCACATCTGACGGTTTTGTTTTCCAAAATGTTGTCGTTTTCCATAGCCCTTGGCCCATAAATGGAAGACTCGCGTTCTGATGGCTTTTCCTTATTCTTACCTAATATACAGAGACTGCTAACGACTCCAACATGTCGGCGGTTGTTAAAATCGTCTGTTTGCCGACTGTGGACCTAGAGTAAAATCATGAGTTTGGAGGAGAAGTTTGGAGTGGACACAGTCAATTCGTTGAAAAGGCAGGGTTATCCTTATCATCGACAAGTCTGAGGGCGAAATATTCCGAGAGAAGACTTCACTGAAAAAAACTCGCAGTCTTATTACCCATAGAAAGCGGAAGGACAGTTGAAATAGAACTCGAGCCAATAGACCCCATCTAGAAATTGGGACATTTTCGGAACTCTGGGGTAATTCTCAAGATTCAAACATGTACCCTTCGACGAAAAGTTGAACTGAAGAGAAGCCACAGGTAGTCGACGACTTTAAACATCCGCTCAGATGCCCTTCGATGTAAAATGCTGTCTACCGTGTCACCGAGATCTCGCGATTTTTATTTTTCCCTGCAAGGTGTAATTCGAGTCTATCATCGGACTCAGGGTCAGGGAGGTTTCCGACAAACCAACAAGGATCCAACTAACTAACGCCCTCCGATAAATTTTGCTGACTCGCCACACTCTTTATTTGAGATAGAAATCGACTTAAAAAATAACCGACTCCGACACCAATAGAAACACACGAGTAATCACTGGGGCTGTGAAAGTCGGGGCTACCTAGATTTGACTACAGAATGGTCGCATTTTCAGTCCAGAAAAGCCCTCTGATCTTTTTGCCGGATAAAAACTGTCTAGCTGATTATTGGAGTTTACGTCGGGCCTGCTCAAAGACTTTAATTCCTCGTAATTTTATTCGATCTCATTTGTCCCATGATATTTCGTCCGTTGCAAGCGAAGAAGGATGGGTGTAGTGTTGACTAGCGTATGAATTTGGTTCTAGCAAGCGAGACTTGCGCACTATCTACCACACGTTCTCTTCCCACAGCGACCGGAAAGAAAATTTGGGCGAAATGTCCGAATATGCCCTGATGTATGTCACACTTTGCTTGTCTCTAACTCCGCACGAACCACTTTCTAAAGAAGGGCCCTCGGCTCTGTTCTCGGAAAGAGGGAGCCATTGATGTCTGAGCCCTAGTCCAGAGGATAACAGAAGTATGCTTTCACTTTGCCACTCGTCAGACCCCGGCTGTCAACGAGTCCTGTACCGAGGCGCGTTTGTATGTTTGTAGTGAGGAGTCAAACGCTAGATCGGCTTCGTGCCCTCTTCCTTCTCACGCATGCCAGTGGCCTGTCCAAGTGAAGACGACTTTGGATTGGGTTGGGTGCAGTGGTCGACGTGACTTGAGAAGTCTGTCTACGCGAGCCACACACGGATCTGTCCTGGCGCACCGCGCGACCAGGGTGCTGCTTGAACCACCGTCTGTCGAAATTTATGCGAATTAGTGCCCGCCACCGCGTAACTTGCCATAAAATGGCCTAGTCTGGGAATGAAGCATTTGCAGGAACCCGTCGGAGATAAACTACACTGTGCCGGGTGGGAGCTTTGAACTTAGTGCCATGTTAGTCACTGCATCCCAACCCACTAATTGTTCTGTCTGCTTTTTAAAAAAGTCGACTTTCTGCAAGTCCTCTTCGCTATAATTAAACGCCTACGCAAGTCGGCATTGATTTCGACTGCTGGACTGTTGGCTGTCAAAGGCACAATCCTCATCATATATATGAAGCGGTTTCGACTAATAACAGATAGTAATAATAGTGCCATTTTTTCAAATGGCCAATTTCTCTTCGTACACTTGACCCACTGATGGCTTAGCTTTTCAGTTTCATCAAACCAAAGCGGCTTTTTCTGTGCTGTACGCCAACCAAGCACTTAGCAAATATTATGCGAGTAAGGTAAGGAGTCAGAGCTTAACTTCATATCTCTCCAAATGATTCCAAGTGAAATTTGAGCAATACCAAAGAACGTCAGAGCTTGAACCTCATCAAGTGTACCGCCCTGCGTCTCCAAACTGCTGTATATAGTGCGCTGCTTGCGCAGTCTCTCGGAGAGGTTGTAATACCCCACTTACTTAGTTCTCACTTAATTTCCCCGCCCCATCTGTGAAGCATTCGCGGTAGGTACCGTTTACGTTTTTGGACCTGGACGGAATACAATCCCCGTCGCGCATATGCAGACAACTTCACACGAAAACAAGGGTGGTAGTTAATAGAACAAAGTAGAAAATAATGACCAGAAGCGGAGTGTTACCAGAGATACGTGGAACAATTGTAGGGGGGAAGGGGGGGCGCACCGATCACGTTGCGAAATTAACTCGTCCCGTTGTGCCAACAAACACAAGGGAGGCTGGAATGTGTGGTTCTGGCTTTTTGGCCGTCATTATCCAGCCAAACTCAACCCTGAGGTGTACAACCCACGAGGTTCGATTCCGCGAGTTCTTGATTAGAATTCCAACGCCCCAACCACTAAGCCGCGGGTTGACTGTCCCGTCGGTTGTGATGGGGTTTACGGTGGGAGGCCCACAACGTTGTCGTTTCGGGACTCATTTGTCCCGTTGTGCCTTGGGGCTCTCTCTCTCTCTCTCTCTCTCTCTCTCGCTCTCTCTCTCTCGAACCTCGTCAGCAGTCACACAGCAGCACGTAACATAGATAACGGGTCCGTCGCTCAGTGGTTAGGGCGCTGGACTTTCAGCCAATCGGTCACGAGTTCGAGCGTCGGGGATCGCGTAGCTCAGAGCTGGGCATGGCTGGCTGGTGACGGCCAGAAGTGTCCGTTCCAGTCTCCCCTTGTCTTTGTCGGTAATGCTTATCTGTCTAGACATGAGACTGCTTTATGAATGAAGTCCGTCCATTGAGTCGAGGTCCCCCAGCAGCTGAGGGCCACTGTCTTTTTTTGTTACGAACAAGCCTAACAAACGAGAAAAAGACGGGAGAAATATCTGCCCAGAACTTTCTGGCAACTTCACCCAACCCCGACCACTCGGAAGGGAGACGTGAAAGGAGATTTCGACGTAGTGGGAGGCGGAGAGCACCCTTCCAGTGACTCGCGAAGACCATTCTACGTTGGCGGAAGTTATGACTTGAGCCGGATAGTAGTAGGGAAGCTTTGAGCCGCATCTATTTTAATCTCTTCTCCGATCTCTAACACAGTCCTAATGACAAAGTTGATTCTTGATATCCGACGAGGAACTCTGACGTCCCTTTCCCAGTTTTTTGCGTCATGAGCCCAATTTACTCTCTCCAGTCGAACCATATATCGTACCCGGATGATCTTGTCCGCAAGCGTCTTTGTAGAAACCGCATTTAAGAGTTGTCTGAGCCTGACGCTGTCTCTGAAATCAAGTATTCCAGCAGTTGACAATCTTTACAGCCGTTACTTCAAGGTCCCGGTTTGCACACACTCGGCCCCTCGATGTCTCAACACCTTCGTTGCGCTCTGATTTCAGGACTCAGTCGGCAAGAACATTTACGACATTGAATGAAGTGATTTATCAGGATCGAATCATCACGACACCCTTCTGATGCAGCTTTATAGATGGTACCGATTACGCCTGGACAACCTACACCCGTCTAGCTATGTAAGCACAGTTTGGATTCTTGCGTTCCAGCGTCACCTATCTTGGGGAAACTATGCGTTATGTGCAACTACTAGCACACTCAAGAGTGGCTATTTTGCTAAACTACAAAGATAGTTGTAGCTATACCTCCCAGTAGTGAGTGCCTGCCGCAATTTATATGTCCAGGGAGTAAATAACCAAATCGACGGTCATATTTTTGACTAATGGCGCGAAACCAACCACTTTGCTGTAGCTGATAGTGTCACCTGCTCCACTTCTCTCCACTTCGTTGATCTGGCTGTCTACGCTTTTCCCACTTAATTCCTTCATCCATCTTTCTCGTCTCCTCCCCATTTTGTCGCCTGATCCTCCTTATCCTCCTCCTCCTACTCCCCATCCTCCTTCTCCTCCTCTCCAACCTCCTCCTCCCCGTCCTCCTCATCCTCCTTTTCCTCCTTCCCCCATCCTCCTCCTCCTTATGCTTAATCTCACCGACGTGATGATATCATACCTGGATTAGACGGATTATGACGTTGCGTGTAATATAAAATGTTCATTTCCTCATCCTCATCCTCCTTCCCATCCTCATCCTCCTGCTCCTTCTCCTCCTCCCCATCCTCTCCTCCCTCTTCTTCTTCTTCTTCTTCTTCTTCTTCTTCTTCTCCTCCTCATCATCATCATCATCATCATCATCATCATCATTATCATCATCAGCAGCAGCAGCGGCAGCGATGGGGACGGTAGCATCAGCTTCGGTATCAGTATTATCGAAATTGCTGGCACCACGTAGTAGCCGTTCCCACTTTCTTTCTTTGTGCTATTCTAACCGTCAGTCCACTCGGAACCAAGTAGCCCTCAGCGGTGATAATGCAGAATTATCGGTGACGCCAGGCCCAACCGACTCTGTTCGCCGGACACGCGGAATGGACTTAAAAGACTGACCGGCAATTATGATTGATTTGAGGCTGGGCTTGATCACTCAAGAGGTCCCAGCGCGGCCCCGAGGTTCGACATTCGTGTGCATACACAAGGACCTAATTAGGTCGAAGAAGCGCAGATTGATAATTAGGGAGACAGCAGAGTGAATCTGCATATCTGGCTTGTGCAGAGGTAGGAAAACACTCCCGCCTGTCTGTGTCTTCGGCCCATACTAATGTGATTGACAATGAAAGCGCCCCTGAAGGAGCCGCTGCCGCCGCCGCCAAAGGCGAGGAACAATTCCCGTGAGGAATTTTAATGGCACAAACACACACGCCCGCACTCATGCGCGCACAGTTCATTGTATGAACCATCTGGGCGCCAGATCGACATTAGCTGCCAACTGCAGGGTAATTAAAGGCAACAATATTAGACAATTAACTATAGTGAAACGAACAATGTACAAAGAAGTACAGTGATTCGCCAGAGTCCGGAGACGCAAATTACGCTTCAGTGTGCGGGAAGTGTTCCCCACAAAGAAAAGTCACACTGCAAATGTTGCCTCTGACCAGGCAACCGTCGTTGGTTACCCCTATCCAAAAGGCGGGTCGGAGGGGCTCGGGACTCAGGGTCGAGTGTCTTATCGATTGGGGATTGAATTGGACGCGTCGGGACTATCACCGTTTTCTGGAGGGCATACGGTAGTTGCCAAGTCAAAATATACAAGACAGATGCCAGCCAGATTAGTAGAGGATGAAGAAGATTCGATCGCTGAAACAATAAATTTATTGGCCTGGCGTTTCGGGTTCTCACTCAAACCCAGCATTAGAGACAGTCGCGGACGCTTGTCTGCGCGGGTAGCATAATTCCAGAATGTTCCGGACACACCAAGCTAGTGACTTTGGAGTGCGCGTCTTTCCGATCAGCCACGAATGACTGGTCCCCAAATAACTAATTAAGTAGTATGCTTTTCCTACATGCCCTCAATATCTTTATAAATCCAATCAAAATTTATAGAAAACACATAACGAAACCATTCTTTCACATACTTCCGCTGTAGCAATTTATGTCCTCCAAAAACTTTTCACTTGAAGAAAGCGTATCTGTCGGTTTAAGGGGTTCGCAATTGGGGGTTTTCCGAAACCCTGAAATTTCCATTTGAGTTGTTTCTGCGCTTCACCCCATTCATGTTCCTCTTTGAGCCTTGAATGTGGTTAACATCTATCGAAAATTATGTGAAGAGTAGATGGTGTATCCTTAATCGGCATAAGGGATTGTCTGGCTTTCTTTAAACGGAAAGTGTACGGCGCGTAATTTGAAGACCCAGGCATGGTTTGCAATCATTCGAGAATCTAAAACCGTTTTAAAGCCGAAAGGTACGCCTTCTTTACGTAGACAATTTGAAGAAGGTGTAATTAACTACAGAGGTTGCAAACAGGAATACTTTTGCGTATGCTTATTACTAAATACAATCTAGTTTATAGTGTCCTTGGGAATAAATGGAAAAAAATAACACTACTTAACTTGTGGTTTTGGAGAGTGTGACTTTCGTGGGTAGTCAGAAGTACGTGTACCCAAAATCAGCATCCTCACGCGCATTAATTATTTTGGAATTATGCAGCGTACGAATCAGTATTGGAAACCCATTTACCTGATCCTTTCCGATCGAACTCCCATCCCAAAATCGCAGTTTGTCACCCCACTGTACGTCGTTAATGGAGGCAGAGTAGTTTACTGCGGGTTGTGGTGGTGGTGAGATTTGTCCCCGCAAGCAGTGTTGATTGGGCTGGGATGGGTTCTAGAAAACCAGTTGCACTGATGCGCAAGATCCCAGCAGGGATCGCGCGGGTCACGCCAGTCCCCCCGCCAATATTCATCTCCAGCCGTCTGGACTTTGCCCTGCCATCTGTAAGGGGGAGATCTTGGGAAGAGAGAGAGTGAGAGAGAGAGAGAGAGAGAGAGAGAGAGAGAGAGAGAGAGAGGTATTGCGCAAGTCTCCTCCGCTATGAGCCATTTCTTGTGCAGTTCATCCAAGAACAGCGATGACCCTCTCCGCTTGTGAAGGGCTGACTATCGTATATGTGGCAGCTAGACATGTGGCTAACCATTCGTGGAACTTGGCAGCACGATCAGCGGGTCGTTTCTGCTGAGCGATAACCTGCGTAGGAAGGGCGGAGGGAAGGACAAAGTTCAAAAAGTGATTGCAACAAAGAGATCCGGCACTGGAGTGTGCACATTCGTCCTTAGGGAGGCAGACAGGGGGAGGGGGTAAAAAAGCAATCGATATGAGTGCACGAATGTCCAAACGGTCACACCAATTGCAACGAAGTCTGCAATGTCATCAGCCAGCGAATTCCTTACGTCACATTGTGAGAGATGAATATTATACTACTTGGGAGCGTGTTGTTGTGAGATGGAATCGAGCGGCCGACTGCTTGAATTTGTGTCGCCGCTAGGTCTGCCAACCGTGAGCAGTTATCGCGCAGACAAGTGCCGGAAAAGAGGATGACAATCACCGGTTAGATGGTAGTTGGTAGCCCTCGCGGTACCGAAAACTCCCAGCTACCTGTCTTACGGGGCCGGTGGTAATAGGGGCCATGCGGGTGGGGCAGATAAGTGGAGGCGTAAATGGCGCTTGTAGGGTATTGCCTGGAAGCGACGTTCCTGGCAAAGTGGAAGCCTAATTTCAAAAGGTGAAAAATGCAAGGAGGGTATAGAAATAAGCATGGATAATTAGTACGGTATGCGGAATAAATGCATCCGTGCCCCAGACTGGAAAGAATAGCAAGTGAAGGCGAACAACCAATAGGAAGAAGGCAGTGTGTCTTAAGGTCATTCCGCAGTACGTGCGATTCTAACCGACAGACTGGACATGAGAACACGAGAGTCAAGCAGCGGCACGCAGGACGGCATAACGCAAGCGGGATAAGACTTTAATGCGAAAAATATGTTTGGGCGAAAGAGAAAATCTGCAAATAATAGTGTATGGTCACTTTGGCCACGTCTAGGATTAGAACTATGGCAGTAGTTGTTTGCTATACGTGAATGGTGTACTATACAATGTAAAGAGGAATTAGCACTGTATATGAAGTTACACTTTTTCTGCTTGCAGAGCCCATTCTCTTAGAAGACGAAGGAAAGCAGGACCGCAAGTGGATAGGCCGACAGATTATTCGCGAATCCTGGAAATAATCCAGTCGTCCTACCTACTGCAGTATCTCCAGCAGAAAGGACTACTGACCTGTAGGGTCTTATGTAGATGTCGAAAGGTCATGCCCTTACAAATACTGCAACAGCACACGGATGGTTATGCCTTCAATTAACATCTGGGTACTGTGATATGCAGCCTAGGATAGTACATCTAAAATGAATCAGATACAGGTAACACAATGCGCGCATGCAATTCGAAGCATAATGAGAAGCATGATGAATCATAATCCGCCTAGGATAAATCTTTCGCCCTTAACTAAAGATTTCCGTGTAGGGGTGCAATACAATGAGTCTATATGGACATTTTTGCAGTGCCTCGTCCTCGGGGCGGTTAAAGTGAAAAAGAAAGTCATCTTGACAGGGCTTCTGCGCGTGCACTCCCAGACATAATGAGAACGTACTCACAGAGCTTGAAATCGAGTCAGTAAGTACAATTGTAGAATCAGTGGGCAGGGCTACCAACTACCATCCTACCCAATTACCTCTTCATCTACCGCAGCAACTCCTGAGGAGTAAAGGATAAAAAGTAGTCCGTCTTTTTAGATTTTCTCATGATTAATTAGAGTATGGAGGACTGGAGAGAAGAGGGAGGCTCTTGCTGCCACTTCCGTCCTACTCTTCTGAACTTTTGAAACCCTGCTGCAGCCCAACAACAGGCATAGCGATAAAAAAAAAACGAAAAGCAACTAATTTGGTTTTATAGTGTCTCATTGAGTGTCCCTGGCCAAAAACTGGGTCACGCCATCTGGCTGTTGGGTTGCAGCGCGCGATAGACGGGGGGTCAGAACAGCCTACCGATTTATGTTGCTGTGGTTCTAGGACCGGCATTCAGGTAATTCTCTGCCTGTTCCCATTGTCGGCCCTCGCCATTATCCATGGGCACGCGAAATCAAACTCGCAGTCTGCTTCCAGGATGTGGGTATCGGCGTGGTGTTATGAGTCACTCCGGCACAAACTCTGCTTGTGCACTTGTACTCGGAAGACGAATTTCCGGGTGGTCTGACCTGCGTAATTACAGCCTGAATCCCCACAGGGAATCTTATAAAGATAGCGCTTTCCTCACCTGAGTTTGTTCGACCGCTGATCCATATAGTCCTCTTGCCGTGAGAGTTCGAAATTTCCCATAAATAATAGTTCCGTCAGTCTATTGGTCTTACTATTAACAAAGGGGGGAGGAGGGAAGAGTAAAAGCGAAAAGGAAGAGTTAGAAAAAGGGGCAATTTAGAGGAAGATAGGGCGAAGAACTGGGGGTTAGTAAATAATAATGTTTGCACGAAACTCATGATCGAGCCCAGGGGCTTAATTTCAGTCAGTTCAGTTCAGTTTTTTGAGTGTATACTCAGGTTTAGCTATAACATTAATTCTGAAAACTGGATTTATGTCAGAGCGAACCCTAGGGGAGCCACTGACTAGGTAAACTTTCCGCTTTTAAGCCATTTGGCCCGGGGGAACGGCGAAACAAGTGTTCGCATGTTTTCCTACTGCCGGTGTTGGGAATATGGGGAAATAAATAGCTACGGACGAAATGTCCTCCTCCTCCTCCTCCTCCTCCTCCTCCTCCTCCTCCTCTTCTTCTTCTTCTTCTTCTTGTTCGTCTATTAGTGACAGGGAGCTTGCGATAATGTTTGCCATCAAAAGTAAGATGCCCAAGAGATCAGGAGTCGTCAAAAGCCCGAGACAGAATTGAAGAAATTCACTGTGTACCAAATTATGATTAGATTCGCGGGGCCCGAATGATGGGCCATCAACATTCGGAAGAAGCTCGGGTGATGGATCGATTTCGTTTTGTAGTGGCTATCGAATTTCATTGGTCTTGAAAGTCGGATTAGCTTCTTTTAAGACGCTACCCTTCAAGTCCCTCCTGACGGATTACAGAGCAAAGTTTGCACTGGAAGGTACGATAGCCAACCGTGATTTAAACAAGGTGAGTCCGCCTTTATGGAAACGATACCAGCAACCGTTTCTGTTAGCAACAGTTGATTATTAAACGTCGGATGTTTGCTATGGCGTCCGCCACTCAATCCCCTCCAATCACCTGACCTTTTGCATCGAGTATTTATTTTGAAAGCTCTACTGACTTACGTTAAATACTGCGGTAAGAATAGGAAGCCCCTAGTACAGGTGACCTTGCGCCTAATTCCAGGAATAGCAGCCATTCCCGTGTCCCAACCCTAACCATAACCCTAATCTCGTCCGAATTCTACCTTAACCCTAACCCCAAACTTATCCCCAACCACAACTTTTACCCTAGCCCTACCTCAATCCTAACCCCATTCCCACCCCTAACTCTAACCTGATCTCCCCGGAAGTTAGCTCACGGCCACCTGTACTTCGGTGGGAGTTGCCACCCCCGAGTCTTGTCAGAATTGCCGAACTGTTTTTGGCATCTGCCGGGTGCACTAACTGTCGCTGAATTTTACCATGTTTCCGCAAGTCAACACAATTAACTTCATGAGTCCAAGTCAGAAACTTCATAGAAAATTGAATGACAGCCAATCGAAATGGGCGCTCTTTTTGGGCTTCCGACTGAAAACTGTTCACCGGCCGCCTCGGCGACCTCGACTACCGGAAGTAACAGCCAGATGGCTGGATTTAGATTCGCGCGTGTGGTGCGTCACAATTGGAACCGTCTGCCAGTCGACCACTACCCTGCATAGCAGGACAATCGACCGGAAAATCTGTTCTGCCGATGACGTGGGTCTTCAGATCTTCCAAAACGTTCTAAAAACAACCACCGCATTTGATCCCCACTACCGGACAAAGAAGTAAAAATCAAATCAACAGAACGCGTTACTGTGACAAACTGTGAAAACCGCGAAAATCACCGTCAGTGTTTCGCAGCGGGACGAGAGAAACTGCCGGGTGCCACAAGAACACCGTTGACTGTGCGCGTTATTGCACCGTCTCCCAATATGTACTCTTTGGAGGGATTACTTTTCGATCTCAGCTTCCATCCTTTTGGAGATTGCATAAGGAGAACGTTGTACACGGAAGAAATTCAACAATATTTTTAATGGTGCGTTAGCAGCCTGAGATGGTTCAGTATGTTATTGCAGACAAAGACAAGGGAGACTGGAATGGCCATTTCTGGTTTATTAGCCGTCGTCAGCCAGTCATACCCAGCCCCGAAGTGTGGAACACCCTAGGCTCGGTAATAACACACTGCCTATATCACGCGTCGCTGTGCGGCGGCTGGTTGGGCTCGAGAGAGAGAGAGCCCGTAAGGCACAACGGAACGAGTGAATTCCGTAAGAACGATCGGTGAGCGCCCCCTACCATTGAGATGGTTCGTAACTTTCAGCAGGCCAAATCAATCCCTGCAGACTATGAGGCAATATGCAAATCCACACCCTCACTGTCACCTTCTGCCCCTTCCGCTCCCTTCTTCACACAGCCGCTTATATGAAAAGACGAACCGTAATCGATTCCTCTTATCGCTCACACGTTTCAGTCTTTACCTCGTTGCCCTGGCTCGATGACAATTTATTGAAAGCTTGCGTATGCTCGCCAAATGCTCCCCTGAATTTAAAAAAAGGTGTTTAGCTGGGAGAACATGGCTGGCTAGAAATTGCAGAGTAGTTCCCGCGTCGGACGCATTGTCGACTAGACTTAGAGAGGAGGATGCTACTGCGCATCTCCTTGTAGAAAACAGCCTCGAAGTCAGTGGGGTGAAATCAGACTCTCGAATCGCTGTGCGCTGCGCTGCGCGCCTACCACCACGTCATAGCCAGCAGGTATAATGTGGGCGTGCCTCGCGGACGCACTTGTGCACGCGTCGGCGCACAAGCGCACGAGTTTGGCGGTGGCGGCGGTGTTCGCTCCCACCGGCCGGCGGCTCCAGCTCTCGGACACGTGGGCGCACGGGGGGAATCACGAGAGCGTACATTGACGTCACGGCGCGTGCCAACGTCGCGGAATAGGGACACGCGCGCGCGCGTGCACGAATGCGCGGTTTAGTCATCAGGCGATGGAGTTAGCCAGTAGAGGATGGGTGGGCGGGCGGGCGGGCGTGATATTGCCTGTCCCTTCTTCCCGTCTTTTCCCGCGTCACGCCCTTGGTTTAGTCACTGCGCTATTATTCAGCTCTGTCGCACACCGAGGCTAAAGATAACGCCGCCCTGACGTGACTGTGACAGAGCCGAGACTCAGTGCTGATGGCGGGCGAGAGGTGAACGAGGACAGACGTCAGGATGCGTGATTGCTCAACGAAATCATCAACTACAGGGATGGGAAGCATCAGAGAGAGAGAGAGAGAGAGAGAGAGAGAGCCATTGTGCAATTGTTAGGTGTACGTGATCTGTTTAGCCAAGTAATCTAGACTTCTTTGCGAACTCCACTTTAAGTGGTATGTCTACGAATTCAGAGAGATTTGAACGAATTCTTAATCGGATGAGGGAATCTTTAAACTGCACTGAGAATTGACACTAACTACGAAAAGGTTATCTGTGCCCGTCTCAGTGCCTAAAATCCTATACCTCGTTAAGCAATAGTGGTCGGTATCGCCGTAAGCTATGTTAAAATATCTGTAAGTAGCTGGCTGAGGGAAGACTGAAAACGTCAGAATCTGGCCACGGAACTGAATGTCTCGAAGCTTTCTCCACTTTAATCATTTGTGTGTGTGTGTTTGCCCCAACGGGCAACGTGGTAAATGCGCTGGACCAACACGGGAGCCAGATCGGATTCTGGCAGGCGTTATTGGATTGTGCACCATAACAAATGCGATGGCAGACCCAGTTGCCGGCGTAGGTCGCGCACACTGGGATCCGCGCCAGCCCCTCTCACTGTTGGTGGTTAAAAATTTGGTCATTCGCTGTGTGAACCAGGGAGCGTGGAGCGGAGCGCCAAGTTGCGGGCTCGACTGTGCTATCCACTTGCGCCCTCCCCCTCTCCGGTATTCTTGACTCTGTCTTGACACTGGGTCCAGATGGGGAGGATGAGAGAGTGAGGTAGATGCTGCGAAAGTCGGCTATCACTACAAACTAATTCACGCACAAGTCACCGTCCCTGCCTTCACCCTGCTGTGGAGCATACAGTGGACAGCGTCGGCAACGACGGTCGAACTGTCGCGTGTGTGTGTGTGTTTTATAACACAGACAAAAGTCTGGTAGGTCACTGACGCATGGGAAAGAAAGAAAGGGAGAAAGAAAGAGAGAGAGAGAGAGAGAGAGAGAGAGAGAGAGAGAGAGAAGGGAGACTATGTCGGTTTGATTTGTCGCCATACTCAAACTTCGAGTCAGGAAGATGTTAGAATTGAAATTGCTTCCGCAGTGACCTTCTCACCTTCGTATTCAGCGCTGGAACTTTGCCAGGACAGAACAGCTGGCCACGCGAACAGGGCACAGGCGAACGCCTCCTCCGGCGACGGTATCAGCAAGCCAAATTGCCAGGTCATTATCATGCCACTAATGAACACTAATGGCGAAATGGCGGCAATTAGCTACTCGAATATGGACGTCACACCAATTGTGACCGCTGGCGGTGAATGTGGGAGTTGTTAATTATGCCAACGATGCGGTGGTATGGCAACTGCATTGTAAAAATAGTGCGCGCTTTGTGTGACTATCTCTGATGACGGTTCGAGTGGGAATCCGAAACATCGGGCAGATAAACGTCTTGTTCCAGCGGCCGGGTCGCATTCTTCTGAGCCGGTTCCTGGGTCCTGCCTATCCACTCCTATCATTAATGGGTTTACCGCTTTGCCAGCTGGGCTGCGAACCCAAGCACTAGTGACTGTGATATAACCTGAATACAGGACACAGTCCGGAGCAGATCTTGGATCCTCGCAAGTGGTCACGTAGCGGTGGGCTTATAACAGCAATCGGAATAACCGACCCGGCTAGCTCTACATTGTGAGCTCCGGATGGGCCGTCGATACTCTAAAGGTACTACCAACAAGGACAACGGGTGACTGCGCCAGCCCTTTATTGATGTCCGAAACCAGTCATACCCCCTCCTGGAGAGCAGAACATCCAGGGATCTAAAAAGCTTTCATTGGTCACTGGACCGAATGCTATCACTGGGCCACAGAATCACACCCCGTCCGCCGCGATCGGATTGGTAAAAAATCGCATTGTGGGAGAATTGAGAAAACAACAACAGATTTTTATAGAGTGAGTGCCGAAAGTCGTGATGCTAAACGAAATTGGCTTAGAGGTAAACTTTCCCCATCCCAGAGTGCTACTTGTTGCACTTGGCCGCAACAGGGAACAGCAACAGGGAAGAGCACTGTAGGAGAGCAATGGGAAACAGGTAGGAGGATGATAACAGCAAAAGAACGCCAAATCAATAGTTGGGAGACAGAAGGCGGAATTGAACACTGTCCTATCAATTCTGACCTGGAAAATCAAGCTTGTTGGATTAAGGTGCATGTTTGTTCATTTGCGCCTTGGGACTCGAACTGGAGGAGTAGCGACAAAGGTAGGAGAGACTGGGATGGTCATTTCTGGCTTATTAGCCATCGCCAACCACTCATGCCCAACTCCAGGTAAGGGCGAAACGAGATTCTGACACAGGCTCGTTGGTCAGTGAGTGTTAAGTAGCCCAACACTACCATTGAGCCACACATCCGTTATCCTGCTTGTTGTGTCGGGATTAGGAATGGCTGACTGGAGACGGCTAATGAGATTAGAAAT